ACCTCTCGGTGGTTGGCCTTTCTGTGGGAAGGGCATTCTTTACCTTGGGAGATTGTTATGCATGGCCTGGTTAAGTATTACAAATGAAACACCTATTTCAGTTATATTTCTTTTCCACAGTGTCCTTGGCGATACAGTAACAACAGGACTACCCAACCTTTGAAATGTGCTAGCATGTGTGAAAACAATGGATATGGCAACAAGAGTGTTTGGAAAGGATAACAAAATCCCCAATCTATTACAAAAGAAATAAAATATGTAGGAAATATGTAGGGAGACATAAAGACAAGTTAATGAATTTATTTACTGAGGACATATGTCCTCAGTAAAATAAATGTGGTTTTTGTATGTCTCTTCTCTGTGACTCACTACTTACTTACCAACTGATAGCCACACTTCCTAGTTTTTGCCAATGGCAAGAATGCCTTGCCCACGAGGCATGATTATTATAAACGATGCTGGATTATAGTTGTTAAATTAGGATGTACATTGTCAAATGTTCCTAAACTCATGAAAGTACAACTGTGACTTTCTCTGGATATAGTTTCCCAAGATCAGAAATGGAAAATAAAAGTCAAGATATGGATTCCACATTTTCAATTAAAAAAAAAAACCAACTGAAAGAAGTCTTAATAAAGCTGCATTGATTTAGAAAAAATAAGAGGAGGGTTCTAATTTCTTCTACAAAGCTGTCAGATGTGAGAGCAAACTAGCCCCTCTCACTTTATTTTGATAGATTAATCCCAGAAATGTGTGAGCATAGAGTTTCTAACAAAGGAAGCCTGGTGTGGAAAGGGCAATGGATACAACACATTTCTATTTGTTTTAGATCACTTGTTAGGGAGGAGTTGCTCATTAGATGTGAGCTACCTGTCCATCTTGCAGGCTTGTTTCAGACAGTATCCTTGTACTATAGTCTTACTTTTGAGAAGCAACAGCAACAAAAACTTAGTGCTCTTATACTATAGGAAGCAAGGTTCTCTGAAATCTTCATGGTTGTAAGCACTGAATCAGAATCTGTGAACAAAAGAATGTTTTTGTTCCTAAGCACTCAAGAGTCAATCAGCCAAAGAATGTTGCTGAAGTCTACTAAAAGTGGTCAAGGATCCCCACTATAATACTCACTTTGCTTTATATTCAAGAAGTAAACACTGGCTGCAAATTTCATATGAAATTAAAGATCAATATTCAGAGGCATATTGATTCTTTGATTCAAGAACAATGTTTAAATTGTACCTTATCTCCTTCCACCTTGAAAAATATGCCACACATGCCCACACAAGATGCTGTGACAAAAGGTTCTGTGGGAAACTAAGATGATTAGCTGACCAGAGTGTCATTTACATGCTCCTGGTGTCCAGATTCTACCACAGTAAGAGGGAACTATTTCTTTTCCCCACAATTTTCATTCTATGTCTCATGTCCCCACTTCTGTGCTCATTTGATGGTATGAGATAGGAAAGTCGGTAACTTATATAATTCATAGAGCCAGAAATTAATAAAACAAAGCATAAGCTGTGCTGAGAGCAAGAAGAAATACAATACTCGATCCTAAGTGAACAATTTGCTTATCCTTTGGGAAGTAACTGTGCTTCCAACAACCTGTATGAAGGGCTACATGATTTAGTGTGATGACCTGTGCTGAAAGTTGTCTGACGAGCTATAATTTGTGAGTCCATGTTCTTGGATGCAGAAAGAAAGAAGACAGAATTCAACTAAAAAGTGAGAAAGTGATGAGAGCAAGGCACACCTGATGTTTATCATAGCATCACAGGACAGACACTCCTTGTGCTTGCTCTTGGGGACATTTAAATGAGAACATTGCATGACCAAGGAGCTGACATTCGCATGACCTTGAATCCTGGGTGTCTCCTTTCCCATGGATGAGGATACCAATTGCCCAATGATACCTTTTTGGTCTTTATTTCTTCAAAACATGAAAACAAACAACTGGGAGAGTGGAGTAGATGATAATGAGAGGAGCCATTCCACAAGACAGAATAAGCTGTGCCACTGGGGTGAAATCACAAACAATTAGAAACTTTATTTTTTTTCCTGTGTCAATAATGTATACCAGTTTTAAGGAACAGCACTGTTAGTGCCTGTTCCCCTAAAGCCGTGCACAATACACACAAAATAAAACAGTCAAACAAATAAAATGAAATCATTTTACACATAATAATTAACAACCCTGAACATCCAGAATCATATTTTCCCTACAGCTTGAAGACTGAAAAGGCAAACAAACCAAAAAGCTTGAACTTGAAACTGACCAACAGCAAGAAGTTCTTGGGACGTTCTCTGTGAAAATTCACTACAAGATTATAGTCATTCCAAAGATGGAATGTATTTTTAAAAAAAGTGCAAAATCTTTCTAATGCTTTAACCATTTATATCCTTGGACTGTATTTACTTAGTAGTTCTAGGCTAGCTTTCAACTTTTAAAGTCTATAAAAATTAAAACAAGACAGGTTAGAATGTACCACTGAGGGTCACCAGTGTCACTAATGTCAGCGGGCTGCAGTATGTTGTCTGGAAAGGTACCAGTACCACATAGATTTGAACCACGTTAACTGGGTCTTCTCAGTGATTTCCGTCACCACCATGATTAGTACTTTGCTAGATCTAAAGTAGGAAGATGAACAAGCCTGCAAGTTGGCCAAGACTAAAGGGTACTTTTCCCAAGCTAAACATTACATTCTTTCAAGAAAAAATATGAACATTTGGTCAACTGCTTTTGCTGTGCAATTTTAATGTGATTGTGTTAAAGAGAAGACATGATTATTTTTCTCTTGCAAGATAAAACCATCTCAGTATGGTTAGGTCAATTCTTGAATAGGAGTCTCATCCACTATATACCCCTTGGGGGCAGGAATCTGGGCTATGTTGGTCACTGTTCAGCTACCAGGAAGTAGTATATTACCTGGCCTATTGAATGGGTAGCAAGTATCTAACTATTCACTCAGCCACTAACTGTTTATTAAATAATGGACAGCTATGGTCACTGAGTAGAAGAAGAAGAGGAAGGAGGTCTCAACAATATTTATTTCTTAAGTATTTTTGAATCAACACAAAGGGCCATGGAGGTCTCAGAGAAGTCTCTGTCTGAGAGGTAGGCAAAGCCATTCCATTTTCCCTCCTTAGTAGAATCACTGCTTTTGGAATGTTGGGTTTATCTTTGCTTTTTGGTGTTTTGGAATAGAAATAGCTGTTTCTTTCAAAGAGTTAAAACTCCCCAGTGTCATCTTCCTGAGAGACCCCAGTTCCTTTGACACATCTCTTGTGTCAGACACAGTGGACTTCTAATGGTCTACCAGTCACCCTGGTTTCTTTTCCACTCAGGAGTTGCTTGTGAGTTCAGGGAGTCTGGACTGGAGGGTGAATGAAACAGGGCTCAAACCAGCCCATCTACATAAAAAAATAAAATGAACTAGCACTATCCACCATCTGTGCCAGACAGAGCAGATGTGCAATAAATACTTTGGGGGAGGGGTAGTGTGGAAACGGTGGCTCTAGAAGTCCAGGCATATCCAAAGTATCCACTTCTCTCCCCAACCTTTCTCTTTGCCTGCCTGAGTTAACAGTGGGTGATTCCTGGAGGCCTCTGACATGCTCTACATGGCTACAATCCCATGGAAATCTGTGTGGTTTTCCTGCTGTCCTCTCAATAACTTTAAAATTTCCTCCTATGACAATTATTGCTTCTTAGAAATGAACGTGCAGAATCATGAAAACTAAGCCATTTTCTTCTTTTATCCCTATCAATATTCAAACTCAGTTACAACTGAAAACTAACAACTCAGGTGAAAAGAAAAATTCACTTATGTCTTCAAATGTCCAATCACCATCGCTGAATGGGAGAACAGTATTTGCTATGCTCTACTATATACAGGTACGCTTTGTTTTATTTGTTTTTCATCCATGCACTGTGTAATAGGGATCACAACAACATTCCCAAACAGGCACATGAAGGAGGGAAAATGTTCGGTCATGACTGGAACAGGATTGTGCAAGCCATGGATGCCACTGAAAATAAAATTGATGGAAAAAATCCCAGGCAACGGCAACGTGGGACCTGGACACACATGATGACCAAAAGTATGACAGATTTGTTTTTTGTTTTTTTTTTGGATGGTATTAATCTTTCTGCTTGCAGGGGTTGGGTGGTGGACAGGAGGAGGTCTGGGATGGGATACCTGGGGAATTAGCTGGGCTGGAAGGAATAAGGGTCTTGCTAATCACAGTTCAGAGCTAAAGAGATAAGGGGTGAAGGATTCTTCGTGTTCCTGGGAATCTAGGCACATTATCCCCATACCTGTTGAACAAGAGTGCCAGGCACCATATCCTTAGACTACATCTAGAACCATCTCTTTTCCTGGCTCCAATGCAGCTCTCATGCTTCTCTTCCTTGAGACAGTTAACCTGTTCATATCTCGGAGAAAAGCATAAAATTTGGTAATATAGTCAAGACGAGCTTCTTTCTTCTTCCATGCCCGGATCCTTCCTCAATTCAAAGTAACGTTTATAGTGTTTGGAGGAGGTGAGGAGAGAATTATAATGATTTCCAGATTGATCCCAAATCCATTCACCTTTGGGTGGATCACCGCTTCCCATGAAGAGAAGTAGGATCCTAGCTCTCCAAACAAAACAAAGCAAAACCAAATCAAAAGCCAACCGCCACCTCCATGACCCCACTGAAAACAAAACAAAACAAGAAAAACAAGTCAAAACCTTAACCATTTATGAACTCGGAGAAAGTACAGCCCTTCTAGGCTGAGCTGCACGATGACCCTGCCTCCACGCCTTGTTCAACACGATGATGCCTGGGAATGGGAGATGGTGGTTTCTGACTTCCTCCCTAGTACAGAGTATGTTCTTGAAGCTGGATTCCATCAGCAGGTTAAGTGAACATGACAAATGTCAGTTTCCTCTGTTCATTATACATAATTCTTTATGTATATATATGTATATATATAAATTTACTATATCTGATTGTTCCTTTAGAAGCCTTTTATGTGGCAGTAGGCCTCCAGGGAGGAGAAGAAAATGTACAAGAGCCACAGGAGCACGAACAGGGAAGATGTGAGGAGCTTGGCAGTCCGGGGCCCACCCAGCTCACCTCCTATTTCTGGCCTCCGCCGGTACAGCAGCACCCCCACGTTGATGAATGCAAAAATGGTGAAGAGAGTGACAGAGAAAGCTAGTGTGCCAGGGGACACTCTGAACTGTTCCCCATTGGCTGCATGGTAGATGGCAGCAATGGACCAGGCCACACCAATTCCCAGGAAGACATTCACAGCGTTGCTTCCAGTGACGTTGCCTATGGATGCATCTGCGTACTGGTCCTGGGTGGCTGCTACTTTGCTGGCAAATGTGTCTGCAGAGAAAGGAGAAAAAAGAGGCCATGACACTGAGTTAACTTTACATACATGCCCACGGGGTGCCATGAGCTTCTGCTGTGTAGTCTAGACTCAAGCCCATAGTAGAATTCTGTATCTTTGAGTCAGTTTTCTGGTCAAAGGAACAGAGCATAGATATCAGGAGTCAAGGGCTTGGTTCTGCCTATGCTACTGATAGAGAAAATCCTCTAAGTCAATTTCTTTATCTACAGATACCACAGTTCTTTGTCTACTAGGCTTGAATGGCAGCTTTTTCTTTCATAAGTTTTCACAGCCCAAGTTATATCAAAATCCAGCAGGGGCCTCAAAAGACTATTACAAGGCTCTATCCAACTCTTCTTGGTCATAATCCCTGGGGCCCAGAAATCTATTTTCACAGAATCCCAAATGATTTCTAGGTCATTCTATGTGTTGAAAATGGTTGCTGGAGGGTACTACTAAAATGCTGTATCAGCAACTATTGCTTACAGATGAGCAAGCTAACATGTCAGGAGAGAGTTCCAAAGATTGAGGAGCAAGTCAATACTGCAACTGAAAAGAATCACACTGTAATCATAGCTGACATTTGCCTAGAGCCCTGAGAATAGGAAAGTAAGTTCACCTGCATGACAGTATTGATTGTGATAATAATAGGCTCAAAGATGTTAGGCAGCAGGTCTCATGTCACACCACTAAGAGGAAATGATGGTGGATTTGGGACATCTGCCTCCTGCCTTCAGGACTCACATTTGTACACTGTACCACCTTGCTGGTACATCTCCATGACACAAAAACCAGTAGGTATCCTCGAAGATCTCTGGTGGCTAACAGCCTTCACTGTGCCATTTTGTGAAGATAGGAATGTCATGGCTTACTAGAGGGCAAGTTTTTGGATAGCAATAGCTTACTAGCACACAGAGGTTTCTAGTCCTCCTCAACAAACAATGAACTCTGTGACTCTGGGCTTCCATTGTTCTTTTGTGGAATGGGAATACTGATATTCGCTTAGACTTGCTGTTTTTAAGATGATGGGATAGAATATGGAAATTGCTGTTTATACTTCTTGTCCAGAGTAGGTAGCTTTTTGTTGTTTTGTAAAGACAATGAAAATAATCTAGATTAGTTTATAAGTTGGGATGGGTTGAGCTATGGTTCCACCTGATAGTCATGAAGATATTCCATTTCTGGTCTGTGTGATGCCTGGTTCCTCATGAGACAGTTCTTTCTCAGGGCTGGTGAGATGGCTCAGTGGGTATAGGTGCTTGCTGTGTAAGCCTGTTGTTCTGAGTTCAATCCCCAGAACCTATGTAAAAACTAACTCCCTAAAGTTGTCCTCAAATTCCATACCCATGAGGTGGCATGAATACCCTCCAAACACACATATCATATTCTTTCTAAAGGGGAGCCGGTCAGCCCTGAGGGCCCATGTTGCTGATTATGATCAACATCTATGATGGACGGAAGATTTTGTGTCTTCTACAACTAAAGAGATGGAGAAAAGCACTAAATACTCCATATAAACATGCACAGGTAATGTTCATATTGTCATCTAACCATCTAGAGGTCTTATAGCCAGATGTAATTATTCCATTTTTATAGTTTTGTAATCTCTGACATTATTATTTTATGCCTCTTGGATAGGGGTCCTGGATAGAAGAAACATTTTTAGGCCAACATGATTTCAGGGTCAATTGCCAGTCCACACCACATTGCTTATCCCAGGAAGACCAACGGTTTCTTTCTCTGAGTTTGTTACAAGTCCCTTTGTGCCTTCCACACAGAAACTTTGAAGCAGGTTTTTGTCAAAGAACTTTTTCTGTTTCAAGGGGAAGAAGTCTGAGAAGGTACAGACCATCTGTTAATCCACCTTTTAGATTTGCTCTGCCTTCTGTGTTTGTCATCATGTGCAGCAGTTTAATAAGAAGCCTCAGAGATGGGTGGATAAGCAAACCAGACACAACCCAATGGTCTCTGCATTTCATTATTAAAAATTATTGGAGCTGCTAATGCTGAAGCAGCCTAAAAGAAAAGAGATTTTGTGCTCTTCTTCTCCAAGGGCAGCCAGTGCAGTGGGACAAAGAGATAAAGAATTAAGAGACCATGGTAGGAGAAGGCAGCTTAGAGGAGAGCCACTGCTGGTGAGTCTCAAGCTTTGTTCTGCTCTGAAGTGACTGCCATTACTGTCCGGTGGTGACAAATGGCCAACCAAGTGAGGTGGGACAGTCAGAGGAGGAGAGATTCCCTTTTGATGCTGGAGTACATTACAAAGCAGTCTTCCTCCCTTAGCAAGTGGTTCTGGGGGTCCTATCTCCACTCCGCAGGGGAAAATGGCAGGTCAAAGATTCATGTATTCAGTGAACCTGACCACCCAATCTGGTCATGTTTGCTGGATTGGAGAGCATGCCAGGTCTGTGGCAATTTACACTCTCGCTATTTTTCAATAGCCTGTTTATGTGAATGTTATGTGAACATTCCAATTCGTAACAACAGGTTCTGATTTCAAATACTTTTCTCTGGAGTCCCTGACAATTAGGAGACTAAATTGCCAACTTGCCACATAAATAAAACATGTTCTGGGCCTCCTTGAGTTTAGTAGTCTTTATGTACTTGGGTCATTCACTGGGTTGTTTGTCTATTTTTATTTCCAGTGCAAGAGCTATGTAAAAATGTTGAAAGAATGCATGTAAATCCAAATTATTAACCTTGACTGTGACAGCTAACCATAGCTTAGGGTTCCAAATGTTGTGTGCTGTGGGATCTTCCCCAATCACTCTTTGTTGCTTCTTTATTGCTTTGTGCAAGGAAGAACATCCCTCACCCCATATGTTAGAGGATGATAAACCCTACTCCAAGTACACAGAGCCTAAAACATGACCATAGTTGAACAAGACAAATGTTGATTATCAAAGAAAAAAAAACAAGAAACCACTACTGCCTTGGTCTCTGAAGGGATGCAATGTTGAGAAGTTGGCACACTAAAGACAGAGACAGAAGAATCAGATTTCCAATGCCATTCACATACATTCAGACATGTTGATGGTGGCATATATCTGCTTTTGTACAAGCATACCCCCAGCCGGCTTCTCACTCATTAACTCCCATCTTGAGCTGTAATTAATGGTACATGAATTATAAAGTCTACAACATTTAGTCCTGTCCTCTTAGTCTGGATGACTATAAATCAGGAAGAAGGAAGGTTCCCAGGAGTTAAACCACACATCAGAAAGTTAGGTCATAGCTGTCCTCTGTGGAGCTGTTTCCAGTTCATTTTATATAACCTTGGCCAACACATCAAGGGAGCATACAAGAATAAACCCTGTTTTCTTCCAGGATTTATTCTTTCTTAACCTGTATCTCTTTAACTTTATAGTTACTTAACAATCTCTCCTGGACATGGCCATCCTTACAGTGTCACAGGTGGGACATAGGCTTCTCTGTTACAATTCAAGAGTGTCACCTCACCTCAGATAGCTTATCTTATTCTCTACTCTTTGGGGACAATTGCACACTTCCAAAGCCATTTGTGCTTAGGAGTGACTTTTCTGGAGCCCAGCTTCATGGGGAGATATGGTTACTCCTCCTTTAGCGCATACAGATTTCGGTCACTCTAAGATATGGTCCATGATGTACAGAAGTTCATGGTGTCAAAGTAGAAGGCAGATCACCAGGGAGATGCTCTTGAAACTATCTGCAGGCTCCTCTTTAAGGCATACCCTTTCCAGTTCCATTTTCCTCATCAAAAATGAAGTATCCAGAAGATCTCTAAACCTCTAACATTGCTGTTTATTGGGTGGTTTGCACAATATGCAAACATATTAAGTTTGCTTTGGGATTTGTTGGTTCTACAGTTTGGATGTGACCAATAATCTTTAGAACTATTGACAATTCAAGAAAGGAAGATTTTTTAGACCTGAAATACACTGACCAAGCTGTGTTAGTTTTAATAAAATGAAACCATACAGCATGGCCTTTTATTTTTTAACATTAGGTAAGAAATGTTGCTAAAATTATTACCTCCAACCTGTATGTGGGAAGCCACAGTGTAAATGGGATAGAGGAAACTTTTTCTCAAAGGCTGTCTTTAATTTTAATAGTGTTTACATATTTTCGGCATCAGATATATGTAGAAACCTTTGCTTATAAAATGTATATCTTGGATCCACTCTAGGCTGATTTACTTAAACCCTATAGGTAAAGGATTTAGGAATATACCTCTTAAACAAGTACCTTAGTTCCAAGGCTAGAAAGCCACAGTTCTAATATTCTAAAATAACAGGACGGGCTGCTAGTGTCCACAGTGTGGGGCCCTACTGGGAGGAATTGATGCTAGTGTTCTAGGGAAGCAGCTAATCAGAGGTGGGAAACAGCTGGTTTCTCTTGGAAATATTGATGCCCCAGATAGGATGGCCATTTTACTCATAAAACAACTTGGGTGGCCCTGGTGGAGGTGCCGGTCCTGCCTAACTGTAATCTCACTCTGAGTTATGCTTCGTGCTTTTTTTTTTAGGTCACTATTTCTGCACATCTACACTGAAAAGCCAGTGATGGGATGGCGGAGTGATCCTTCTAAATGAACTAGATTCTGGCTCCTCTTCTCAGAGGAGAAAAGGTAGATGTGTGTCTACCTCATAGGGTTTGAAGGAAGTGAGTCACTGTGAATGGAATCTAATGAGTGCTTAATGTTACTGGCAGCAAAGCCAGAGATTTTAGTGTAGGGGAGCCAGATCTGTGCTGATTGATGATTCTAAACATTGGGTAACAAACACCCTAGGCCAAAGGATTTACAGTCTCGTGCTTTTAAATGTAACCACATAAAAATGACTCTTACAAATTAAAGCCATTCTTATTTTGAGAATTTTGTAAGACCTAAGTCATCAAAAGTCATTAGAGATCTTGTTAAGCCTGCCATTTTCCAAGTGGTTGCAATGCAGTCTCTGTTTAAGCATTATATATGCATGTTCTTCGCTTCTTTTCTCCCTTCCCCACCCTCTGCCTCCCT